TCACAGTTCCAAGGCAGCCATCCCATTGTCAGCGCCCAAAAGGTATACACATGCAGACCAACAGTTGTACATCTAACATTTTTTAAAATGTTTAGAAAGTAAGGGTGTTTATTGAGTAATCTGATAATTTGTTTTCGTTTTTCTTTTCTTTCTCTCTCTCTCTCTTTCTTTTTTTTCCTCTGGTTTTTCAAGACAGAGTTGTCTGTGTAGTCCTGGCTGTCACTCTGGCCTGGCTTCAAACTCTGAGATCTTCCTGCCTCTGTCTCAGGTGCTGAGATTAAAGGTGTTTTATTCTCACCACGAGCGCCTGGAGAACAATTTGTTTTCTAATAGCATCACTATAAAGCTAAGAGCTAACAAGTGCTGGAGGAACTGAGAGGAAAAGCTTCGCTTTAGTTGAAATGCTCAAGAAAGCTTTGAAGGAGTATTTTAAGATTTGATAGGTATAGATAGCAGCAGGGCATTCCAGGAAGGCACAGCAGTGTGAACAGGGGAGTGAAGAAGCATGGCACCCAGAGCAGTCAATAATCCATTTTCCATCAGGGAGCCTTTGAGGTCAGTCTGAAGAGAAGTTAGCCTACTTGTGGTAATGTACTCTGTCCACCGGCAGGGGGGCCGCTATTAAATTAAGGCTGCTTCCTAGGATTCTCTCTTGCATGCAGGAAGTAGTAACTTATTTACTTCTTCCTCAGAAATCATGCCATTTCTCGGCTACTGTGAACAGCAAGGCTTGAGATTCTACTGTGCAAATAAGTACAGTTTGTGAAGTGGCACAGCAAAGTCCAATACTTAACAGGTAACCCCGGCTTTTTAAGACTGATTTCTCAATTACCTATCACAAAATAGATACACAGAAACTACTTCTGAAATAACGAAACGCAGTGGCTCCAAGCCGGGAACCCCTGTCACTGCACTCTAATTAGCCTATCTGAGTTCCCGGCAGTGTACTGATGCTATAAACTCCCAGGGACAATGGTTGCACCAGCAAAGTCTGCCCTGCACTATCAAAAGAGAAAAGCAGTGAACACACCTTAACATTACTTTGGTTTGATAAAGAACCACCCATTACCATCTTCGTTTGATTTACACAACTGGCAACTGCTGGATTTTCTGGCCCGTATGCTAAATACTCGAGGGATATAATCTGATTAACATAGTAGATCCCATGGCCTCTTCGTGCTCCACTGATATCTGAAACTGTGCAAACTGAAATTTGTCCAGCTGCTTCTTCACCAACGAAACGCCAGAAACGGAGAGAGAGCCACTTACTTTTTTAAAAACCAAGCGCTGAAAGACCCAAATTCTCAAACAAACCAGCATCCACCAACCCTAGATTTCTGAGCTAAAATCTGGTTCTTTCCCAACACTTGGGCATCTGTTTACGTTCTAACCGAGTATTACCTTAGGCCTGTCGACCGGCCATCAACCTCCCCTCCGACCCTATCCAGGAGGGAGCCCCGTCACGTTTGATCCGCAGGGATCGCGGCGGGGCCTTAGGGTTCCCGGCCACCCAGGGCCGGTGCTCCCGCAGCCGCAGCTCCTCGCAGGCTCACCTCCGGGGGTCGCCAGCAGGGCTGAAACGCGACCGTCCCCCAGCGCGGCTGCGAAGGCAGCACACCGGGACTGCGGAGCCCCGACCGCGGCGAGCAGACCCCCAAATGGAGGCGGGGCGCGGTGGGAGGGGCCGGAAATGTTTACGGCGGACCTTTCGGAGGGCCGTGCGCGAGCCGCGGTCCAGGGGCGGGCCGCTCCCGCGCTGTCCCCTCCAGAGCCGGCGCCCCGCCCACCCAGGACACTTACGGCCTGGCTGGCTGCCTCTGCGGGGGGCCGCCGGCCCGGGCGCTACATCCCGCGGCGCTGGAGGCGGCCTGCGGCCGAGGGGCGCCCGATCCTCAGCGCCCTGCCCGCGCCGGAAGGGCCGCGCGACCGCTCGGCGTCACCTCCGCAGCCGCGTCACCTTCCCGGCGCTACCTCGCCCCGCTCCGAGCCAGGCATGCCTGCGCATGCCAATCACCCGCGCGCTCTCGCGCTCGCCCCGCCCCGCCTCTGTTCTGACCAATCGCTCGCTCTGATGTCCCAGCTGGGCCGCGCACTGGCCATTTGCAAAAGCCTTTTCTCCCCGTACACACTGAGCGCGTGATGGGAAAGGGATCCGGACCCTGGGAAGGAATGCCGAATTTCCCCCCTCATGTCCTGGCTATTCAACTCTGAAATATGTATATTTTTTCTTCTCTCGGTGGGAGAATTGAACCTCTAGGCAAGCCCTCTACCACCGAAGTACATCCCTAGCACTGAAACGCTTTTTTTTTTTTTTTTTTTTCTATTTTTGGTTTTTCGAGACAGGGTTTCTCTGTGTAGCCTGGCTGTGTTGGAACTCATCCTCCTGCCTCTGCCTCCCACGTGCTGCGATTAAAGGCGTGTGCCATCACCCTTAATTCTGCAATTCAGGTTAGCCTCGTACTCGTGGCAAACCTGCTGTCTCAGGCTCCCGAATGTTGTGATTGCAAGTTTGCACCACCATCCACAGCTCTGAAATTCTGTTTCTATGTAGGATTTCCTAATCTCTCTTTTGCTTCTGCATGTTATTTATGGGATGACGATCGCGGACCTGGCACTCAACTGGATTTGCGTTTTGGTTCCTGTTATTTCTCAGAAAGGCGGAAGTTGTTTCAAACAAGCCTAACTTGACCATTTTCTGTTCCAGCCCATGTTTCCATGTGACCCAAGAGAGCACACCTTGGAAGACAATATATGGTGTGCATCCCTGCAGGAGCTGAACCACACGATATAGGATTTGGCTATTTCTATGTTCTTATATGCTGACGAATGCTGCACAGCTGATACGATTCTAGATGCTGGGAATGGTGACCAAATGCTAGATGGCTGCCCCAGGAGAGTGAAGTCACTTGTGTTCTGGTTAAAAGCATGGGCTCTGGGTCCATGTAGACCCACTTTCCTTTCCTAGCCACTGGAGGATCTTTAGCACACTACTGAGTCCTTCCAATTCATTACTTAATCTGGAAATAGTACTATTTCATCAGGTCTGTCAGGATGAAGGACAGTTCATGCCGGTCAAATGATTAGTCCTTCAATAACTAGCTTTTTTTAAATTTATTTTTATTTTATGTACATTGGTGTTTTCACTGTATGTCTGTGTGAGGGTGTCGGATCCCCTGCAACAGGAGTTAGACAGTTACGACTGTCTGCTGTGTGGGTGCTGGGAATTGAATTCTGGTCCTCTGGCAAAGGCAGTCAGTGCTCTTAAACTGCTGAGCCATCTCTCCAGCCCCCCAACTAGCTATTATTAACATGTTGCCTGCCGTGTAAAACCCAGAAACTTCTGAGTTCAGGTTTCTTCAGTATGGCCCTTTGCAAAGCTGGCTTTAAGCCTCATCTTCTTCCATCTTCCTTTGGTATTTTGGGCCTCAGTAATTTCTCCTAGTTCTTTTTCACTCTGATGGCTTTTGCACCCTGATCTTCCTGTGACCTGCCCTTCCCTCACCAACTTCCAAAGGATCCAAGCAGTTTACAATGCTCAGTTCTAGGTCTGGTTTTGGCTGCAGATAATCCTAAATTCAGCTTCAGGCTCTACCAGCTACCGACCAGCGGTATTTCCTTTAGCAAATCCTTAAGCTTCAACTCACAGGATTAACATAAGGATTATACTGTACAAGGCAGACAGAATTGTTTGAATGGTACCTGGTACACGCCTGTTAACAAATTGTAAATCCTTCCTCTTTCACAATCCCTTCCTATTAGGACCTACACCTCTGCAGTGGTGTTGATCACTGGATGCTGTGATGATTTGCTACTTGTCTTAGACTTGGAGGCATTTGGGGGAGAAAGCCTACCACTAGCTTTTCTTGGCTGCAGCTGTCACCTCAGGATACATTGTTTGCTCACATGATAGGTCCTTAATAAATGTTTGCACTCATTTCTTCACAAAACAAAGACTGGTGAGCTTCCACAAAGGACACTCTTTGCTGGGCTGCTGCAATTAGTTCAACAATCCTCGGCAAGAATTTCCATTCCAAAAGTGAGGTGGCTTACAAAGCAATGGCGTGTACGTACTAGCTGATCAAGACATGGAATAACACCTGACGGAATTTACCGAAGAATCTGTTCTATTGCCCCCGGTATGTCAGGGCCCCCAGAGACAGAAACCCAGTTCCATACAAAAACAAAACAAAACAAACAAACAAAAATACAATGTTGAACGGCTGGAGAGATGGCTGAGCATTAAGCTCACTCTTTCAAAGAACCAATGTTCAATTGCCAGTGCCCACCTGGTACAGTTCCAGGGGATCTGATGCCATCTTCTGGCATTCTTAGGTACTGCATTTATGTAGTGCATAGTCATGCATGCAGGCAAAACATCTACACATACACAGTAAGATGAAAAAAACAAAACCAAAATTGACCTTCCTGATGGATCCAAGCACTGTTTCCTCCCAGTGAGACTAAGAGAGAAACAACAGGGCTGCCTGAGTCCTATCTTGGGAGGACTGAGGGGACTGGATCGTGAGTTCTCTAGCATAGATGGCTATTTAGGACTGATGAGCCTGGGAGAGGCCAACTCAGTCTAGTCACCAAGTCTGTTCAGAGCTGGTGATGTCAGGTTACTTTTTAAAGGGGCAAATGTCCCTTCCAAATGGAAAGGCAATACTTTGTTTTGTATGCTGGATACCATGAAAGATAAATATTGTGAATATAGGCCCATAAAAAGAGGGGAAGACTGGCTAAATTAAGGGACTACTGAGGGATATTCATACTCTAAAAGACCCTCTGTGTCTTCCCTCCAACCTTCAGGGAGAAATTGGACTCTGGCCCCACAGAACAGCTGCAGGAAGGAGCCCTGGTTCTGTTGGCGGCTCACATTTCAGCAGATGGCACCACTCCTCAGAAGCTCTTTAAAACACCCAGGAGACTTTGTGCTGGGAGCTCTCCCCTTCCAATGTCCTTAGGCATTAGGAGACAAGGACCTCAGACACAACAACGCCTTGACATCATGAGGGCCTCGGGTCCGTTTATTTGAACAGCCAGAGACTCCTTGTACAAGCAGCAATCTTAAGTTGTGGGTAACCATGCTCTAGCCTGGGCAGGAGCTGAGACACACACACACACACACTCACACACACACACTCAGGCACACATGCACGCATGTCACCCTCCTCTCTCTGAGGTTGAGAATTCTGGAAAATAATTTCTTTCTGTAGGACTATGTCTACAAGGCCATTCAACCTATACACACATAAGTAGTGAGTGAAGTGCTGCTCAGTCCATTCCTTTCAACACAGACACAAAGGTCAGAAACGAGCAAGATGCATGCTCCTTTCTTTCTGGCTCTAGGGAAGAGACTGCTCCTTGAGCCTCATCTGGACGTTTTATCAAAAGAAGAGTCTAGGGAGTGACTCAGCCTTGACCTGCATCTGCATAGCTGGAGTGTTGTTTCTGTAAGCATCCAGATTGTAGGATGAGCCACAAAAGGCTGATGCTCTCAGTAAAGGCACTAGGCCTCAGTGTTCAAGAATTGACTAGGGACAACTGCACACATGGGATCAGAGAGGCTTTCAGATGCTCAGTAGGTGAATCGCATCTTTTGTGAATAGCCCAGCTTGTCCAAGTTAGGGTGGCAGGCCAGCTGAACCATAGGAGGTGGCCCACAGAGCAGCAGCAGCACATCCTCTGCTGGGGCGGGTAGGTGCTCCTGGATCATGTCGGCAGTAACAAAGCCCTTGCTGTAGGCCCAGCCTGGAGGATGGGGAAGAAAGGAAAACAGGTGCTTCAGGTCCATACCAGCAAGGGAATGTGATATTTCCAGAACAGACCCTTAGGAAGACCCAGAGAGGATGAAGGCCTCAGGTTGAAGCAGCAATTATAGCCACATCCCTAACTGCCCACCTGAAAACAGGAGCCTGAAGGACAGGGATCACATCATTTTGTCTGTGCACACAGATTTGGGGATTTGGCAGTGTTGGGTGGGTCTGTTTTACTGAACCCAGAATTCAAATTCACAGAGGGGCAAGGCCTTGATTTTGATAATGAGGGACTATCCAGTAGTTCAGAAATGGCAAGGTACCTTCTGGAGGATGATCCAGAGTGAACCAGAGCTTAAAGCGATTAGGATATTGGGCCTGTAGTTCCTCTAGGTCTTCTCGGAGGATTATGTCCTTTTCAGTCTGAAATGCAAACGAGGAATCAAGGGTCTCAGAAATACCAGAAAAGTGTTTTGTTTTGTTTTTTTCTGTGCTATGGAAACCTTCCAACCAAGAAGAAAGAGAAATGCTGAAGGTATGCTCAAGTTCTAGGAACAGGACAGACTTGCAGTGCTTTTACGGTGCTAAGGATCAGCAAGTGGCCTCCATTTACACTATACAGAGAAGTTCTTTGACCAAGAAGGCCTAAGCACCTATGCTTATCATGAGACACCTCCATCTTGTCTTGCTTTCCTGGGGGAAGAATTTTGGCTTCATACTAGGTCCTTTTCCCTCTTTAAAAAAAAAAAGGTTTATTTCTTTATTTTATGAGTGTTTTGCCTGCACACATATAAGTGCATTGCATGGGTGCCCGTTGCTCCTGAAGCCTGGAAAAAAGTGCCAGATGTCCGGGAACTGGCATTAGAGAAAGTTGTAAGGTACCATGTGAGGGCTGGAAACCAAACCCTGGTCCTCTTCTTGCTGGTCCCTCCCTTTCCTTCTTATTGTGAGAGAAAATCCCCTTCCCCTGTATTTGCAGAGGGGCTTTGGACAGTCGCTAGAGTAGGCACCAAAGACAGTTCTGTCTCTCTCAGCCCATCTACTCACATAGCCAATCTGAAGTGCTGTCTCTCAGAAAAGCAAACCAACCTGGTTGGCAAAAAGCAGAAAGCACTGGGTGGGATCTTCAGGGACTTTCAAGATGGCCCGGATCAGCTGCAGCATTGGGGTGATTCCTGCATGAGGACAGCCCATGGTGAGATGCAGTGGGGATGTTCTCTCTTCTCTGTCCTAGCTCCTTTACTGGCCAGCCCAGTCACCTCAAAGCTTATTGTTCACACTCCATGTGTTTTCCTGCTGTGTCTAAATCCTATGACCTCTACCTGCATATTCACCAGGACCTACCTTTGTGTTGGACCTTAATATTCACGTAAGATCACAGCATAGAAATCCTAAGGAGTCCATCTAAGACACTTACTCTGAAAGTCCCTTGGAGGTAGGAACATTATAGATTAGGCTGGATGTAGTACTTTATGGCTTTAATTAGCAGCACTTGGGAAGCAAAGGCTGTCATATTTCTGTGAGAAAAGAGCCAGTTCTGGGCCAACCTGAGCTACCTAACAAGATCCTGCCTCAAGGAAAGAAAAAAAAAAAAAAAAGAGTCATAGATTACTAATGTACCTTCTGACTCGGTGATAAGAGTTCTGGAACCCTGCTTATAGAGGGTAGTAGCGTGTTCTATAGAATCAGGCAGAGTCAGACTTGAATCCTGGCTGTGGCTGTTAATAATTAAATAACCCCATGGGAAGCAAAGCTCTAGGACTCTCCATTTTCTCATTTGCATAAGGGAAAGGCTTGTAGTTACACTTGCAAGTACCTACTTACAGTGTTTAAGAGACACCTATAGTATTATGGTAGTACTATAATGCTCTTATTTTTTTCATTTGTGATGTAGAGGATTGAATCTAGGACATTGAACATGCTAGGTGAAGCGGTCTACCAATGTGCTCAATAAATTGTCCCGGCTTGGCTAGAGCTGTATTTATGTAGGTAGCCTAGGCTGACTCTAAACTTGTGATCATCTTGGTTTGAACTCCAATCCCTGGAACAACAGGCCTGTACCACCAGGCCTGGCTTTTTCCTTCTCAACTATTCATACTTAGCTGTTTTCCTCAAACTCATTAAATCTACTCAGTTTGTGGAGGCCTCTCCTAACTTATTTCTCTCATTCTATCTGTGATTTTGGTTTGTTTTGTTTTGACTGTTGTCTTGTTTCTAATTTTGATTTCGGCTGCTGGGGAACGCTAGACCATTAGTGTCCCTAGATTAACAACTTATCCTCTATTGCTAAACCCAACATTGCAAAACCCAACAATGCCCAGCAAAGAAGTCCCTCAACTGATACAGACCTGTGCCACCAGCAATCATTCCTAGTTTCTTCGCCACGCGATGCTCAGGTGGAGATTTTTTGTTGGGTTGAATGTTAAAATTCCCTGGGAAGTCATGAAGAGTTAGAATCAATTCAAAACAGAAACGAAGTAAACAAACACCAAGCAGAAAACTGTGCCCTAGGCTGTTTTAGCAGCTGTACGAAATCTGATCCTGGGACTTGGGCAGAGTTCAAACTAGCCAGACAATTACTCTAAGAAGGACAATGTGGTTGGGCTGTCTGCCTATCAGTCAGTCAGTTCACACAGTAGGGACACAGAAGTCACACCCAAAATCTCAGTGATCCCACACAGCTGGGAAGATGAGAGCCTGTGAAGTCTAGTGAGGGGAAGGGAAGGTGTATGGAGCAAAGACTTGCTGACAGAGAATTGATCCCTGGTGAAAGTGGTAGGCTTGGGGCTAGGGTGAATTTAGTTTCCCCAGTGGCCCAAAGCTTCACCAGGAGCATGGTACAGTTGTTCCCTAGGGAAGGGCTAAAAAGCTTTCTCTTGGTTCTTAGCCAGAGGGAATAATCTTTGGGGGAGTGAAAGAGAAACATAGGTTTACTTTTGTAATCTCCACACTTGTCCGCCATGGCTGGTGAACCAGGAAGCCTTACACAGGTACATACATGCACACATGCAAACTGTATGGGGTTTGGGGTAACTGTAGGGACAGGAGAAATGAGACTATAGAAAGGAAAAGACAGATAATCACCTTTCCCAGCATAACTGAGCAGCCCACTTGGCCCCCGGAATTCTACCACATCCCCAATCTTCAGGCTATCCAAGTACTGAGACATCTTCCCTCCTTCAGGAAATTTGGGGTGCACACCTTTCAGATAAATCTGATGAAGCAGAGAGGAAGAAATGCCCCATTTGGGATGTAATGGAGGACAAATCAGAGCTTATGCTCATACTCTTCTCCATTTCCTTATATAATACACTTCCCTTACACTCGTTACCTCATGCAGTCAAAGGAATCTAGGAAGCTTCTTAAAATCCCACAAAGAGGCTCTAGATTCCTTTTCTTTTGGTGTGTGTGCATGTATGTATACATATGTGTGCATGTATGTGATGTGTGGGTGTGTGCTCGCACACACACATAGCTGCCTCCGAAAGCATAAAGAAGTCAGACAACAACCTCAGATGTTGGTCTGTGTCTTTCATCTTGTTTGAGACAGGATTTTTGTTGTTGTTGTTCTTGAAAGGCTGACTGGACCCCAAATTCTGAGTTTCTGGTAATTCTTAGGTATCCATCTCCCAGTAGAGGCATGCTGGAATTTCAGATACATGGGCTACTGTGTCCTGCTTTTGCATGGGTGCTGGGAATTCAAACTCAGGCTTGTGTGGCAATCGATTTTCCCAACAACCCAGCCATTTTCCCGGCCCCTATACTTCCTCTTTATACTCTTACCTTAATGACAAGATCCACATAGCCTTGGTCTTCATCACTGGTGACAGGTGTGTAAGGCCTGATGACCAGACTGCCATCAATTCGGGCAGAGAGGTAGACATGCTTGCCTGGGGACCACAGGGAACTTTACATAACTGCCATGGGTGTGCTGTGTCCCTGTCACCTTCCAAAAATACTCAGATTTGAGAGAAAAGGATGTTTTGCTTCTTGGTGTTGGTCCAAGGAACTGTCCCACAGGGAGGATCCTCAGCAGGATCTCTTGTCTCCTCCCACCTGAGAAACTCCCTCATCTACTGCCAGGACCTCACCAGCAACAGCTCAGCAGAGGGTTTGCACAATGGGAAGAAATTAGTGTTTGCTGGGATATGAGGGGGGTTAGAGAAAGTCCTACTGGAAAGAGGTTAGAGATATCTAGGGGCACAGAAGCCACATCCTAAAGTAGTGTTTCCTCACAGGCTGAAGGATTCAAAGCCAAGTGAGGGAAAGAGAATGGTGTGTACAGAGAAAATAGCTAAGCAGTGACTCGCCCTCATAGGATGCCAAGGAAAGAAGCCCACTCCCTCTTTCTTACCCACAGGCAGCCCCAGAATGTGGTGGGCGGTGGGCAGGGCAAAACGGAACCTCCTGGTGTTGTGGCTCACAGTCTAGAGGATGGATGACAAGATGTTTCATCAAGCAGGTCTAGCCTGCCAAGTCTCCTGGAGCAATCCAACCACCTTGGATGCTATCCCTCAAACTAGGAGAACTTTCCTCCCCTCTCTGCCCTAGGCCCCTTCTTGACAACCTACCGTCTTGTCTAGTAATCGCAGCAGGTACTTTTCATCTGGGTCCTGGAGAGTGACCTGCGGTCGGCGGGATCTTCGAACCAAGTAAGTACCCAGAGCCAGTCCAAGCAGAGTAAGGAGCCCCACCCCCAGAGAGGCTAACAAGACCGGGCTCTGTGGGTAGAAGAAGACGCGTGACCGCTACGCTGAGGAAGAGCCAGGGAGTGAGTGCGGGAGCAGGGGTGGCGATCCCGAGCTCTAGTAGCAAGAAAGCATGCGAAAGCCGAAGAAGTCAGAGGAGCAGCGTCCCCAGCCGGCATCCAGAGCGGGCACAGCACAGTCCCGTGGGGCCGAATGCCCAGAAGCAGCTGGGGCGAGGACCCCAGGGTCAGGGCACCGAACGAGGGTCTTACCGACTGGATCGCCATGACCTAGGGCCTTGTCCCGCTCCAGAGGGGTTGATAGATCCCACAATGCGCCGCGGGGCGGGCCCGGAGGAGGAGCTCTGTGGGCGTGGTCTGTGGGGGAGGACCTGACAGAGGCTGGATTGGCTGGGATTGTGCCGCTCCCCTTCCTTACGAACTGGGTGGTCCAAGGGCGGGTAGCTAGGCAGTCCCAGTCCCTCCTTTCTAGCTTTCTGGTCTTCTCCACTGAAACCTACCCTAAAGGAAAGGATGACAGTTCTGTCTAAAATGGAGCCAGGTTAATTCGCGTGATGAGACATCTTTTAGCCGGTGTGAGAGTGTCACGGAAAATGGAGTATTGAGCCAGACACAGCCTTAAAGCAGAACAGGAAGTCGCCAGATGGCAATTCTTGGTTTTTTCCAACAGGCTACTTTGTCAGACAAGTGAACTGCCTAGCGACATCTCTTTCAGGAAGAGTGGCATGACAACTTCATTTCCTAGTCCTTCAAACAAAACAACTGATCTTTCTCACAATACCAGTTCATCAGAATCAGTCAGACTGGAGAGATGGCTTTGTAATTAAGAGCTTATTGCTCTTGTGGGTTCCCAGCACCCATATAGCAGTTGAGATTGTCTGTCACTCTAGTTCTAGGGGTTCTGGTGCCCTCTTCTGGCATTCTCAGGCACTATGCGGACATAGTGCACATACATACACACATACATGGAGGTGAAACACTCATGCACAAAATAAGAATAAATGATAAATATTTTTTGAAAACCAGGGTCTTGAGCCTGTTGCGATGACACACACCTTTAACCCCAGCACTCAGGGAGGCAGAGGCAGACTTATCTCTGAGTTCGAGGTGGGCCTGGTCTACAAAGCAAGTCCAGACAGCCAAGGCTACCCAGAGAAACCGTGGCTCAAAAAACCCAAACAAACAAACAAACAAACAAATAAAAAACCAGGGGTTTCCTTTTAGTTCAATCCCCACAAAGTATGGGTCCTCATCAAGGCAGGCAGTATACTGCACAAGATTGATGCCTCTAGTGCTTAACTTATTTCAATCCTCTGCATCTCTTCATCAATAGATGGATGTACATCATAATCTTTGGGCTTTTGGTTCACAGGCTTATTCTGAGGCCTAGGGAGACGTTCTCTTGTGTAGTATAATACCTGTCAGAGAGAAAAACATGAAATGGACAGTAGCTACCACTATAACTCAGAGGACAGTCGAGACTTCACTAGCATTAAGGACTCAGCTCTGCTGATAGCATAAAGATGGAACAGGATTAGAAATAGACACAAGTCCCTGGGGCTGCACATTGCCAAGACTGCTATGCTGTCTCACATAAGTTTCCCAAACAGAGTGACATTGGCTGTTTGAGACACAGTGATGGATGAAAGGCCCATACATGTCAACATCAGAAACAAATACCTTCGGGGTAGCAGGGACAATGAAACCTTAGTTTTTAGTCAACTAAGAGTGACCCAAGAAAGGTTTTTTTGTTGTTGTTGTTGTTGTTTTGTTTTGTTTTTTAATGGGATAGCTGAAAATGCCACTCAGACCTGGGCACATTCTTGTTGGAATTTCCAGAGCAACTAGTCTAAAGGAAAGTCAGAATGTGATAGGCCATGATAAAGTAATAAAGGCTGAAAGGGGAAGGGCATGGATACCTTAATTTTTAAATTTAAAATAATAATTCCTTATTTTATCTAATGTGTGTGAATGTTTTGCATGTGTGAGTATGTATGTATATATGTATGTAGGTAGGTAGATAGGTAGGTAGGTAGGTATGTGCCTTGTTTCCAAAGAGGGCAGAAGAACTGGAGTTGCAGATGATTGTAACCCACCTGGCCTCAAATTTGTGATCCTCCTGCCTCTGCCTCTTCAACATATCCTGTTGGTGTGTGACACCACCACGGACCCCTTCTTTTCTGTTTTGGGATTATGTTCTGGAGCTTCTGGCTCCCCCACCTTGCTGAAGCTAAGAAGCCACAACCACTGCTCAGTTCTGTCCGGAGAGGTTCCAGGTCTTCCTTCTACTGGGTGATATGTACCAGGAGAGGGAGAGGTGCAGAACAAAAGGAGAACATGCTTACAGTTTAAAGGGACACACAATTAGAGTGCAACTTCAGGAACCAGTGGACCAGCTATGTAAGACTGGCTTATCCTGGAAACTGTGTGGTCTCAACTGTCATGTCAGAGAGGCAGGAAAAAAGGTCTTTCAGGCCGAAATCACAGAAGGCTGACAAGGACATGCCCAATCTCCATACCTTTCGGGAGTGGCAGCCTGATGTCCCATATTAACAGCTCTGTGTACCCCACAGGTCACTCCACAGGTCACATATTAACCAGGCTCACTGTTCCGATGCTCTAGCATGCTCTTCCTCCTATGAAGGAGCCTTAAAATAGACACCTTCTGTTGTATGGAAGAGGAAACTGAAGCTTATTTCAATACCCCCACACACAATCCTGTTGGCTTACAGAATGATTTGATTTAGTGCCTCATGACACCCTCCCCCCCCCCAAAAAAAATATCAACAACACTGACTGTGCTGTTTAGGTTGGCTTGAAGTCCTTCCTGGGCTAAGAGCCTGTGGTCCCAGATACCATCCCAAAAGGTAAATTCCACCTTTGTGTGACTCAGTCATTTGCTTTGAGGGAAGACTTATTTCTGGATTTTTATCTAACTTAATCTCCTCCATGCCGTATGTGTGTGTCTCTGTGTGTGCGTGCGTGCGTGCGTGCGTGCGTGCGTGTGTGTGTGTGTGTGCCTGTTGAAGGCCAGGTGTATCATTATGTTCTTCCACCACCCTCTACCATAGTTTATTTATGTTTGAGATAGGGTCTCTTTAAGTAGTCCTAGCTGTCCTGGAACTTGCTATGCAGACCAGGCTGGCCTCAGAGTTACAGAGATTCATGTAACTCTGCCTCCTGAGTACTGGGATTAAAGTGTTTACCACTGTATCCAACTTCTACAATATTTTTCAAGTCAAGGTCAGTCACTGAGCCTGGAGCTTACTGATTGCCAGTACCTACAGGCCGGCCAGTAAGCCCCATAATCCTCCCATCTCCCCTTCCTAGAGCTGGGTGATAGGCACACACTGCCACATCCATCTTTTCCCGTGGGCACGGGGGATCCAAACACAGGTCCTCATGCTTGCACAGCAAGCACTTTACCCATTGAGCCACCCCGTTTGTCCAGCCCTTCCAGTATTATTTTTTAAACAAACCCTATGTTTCATATAATTTTGCCTTGAAATATTTTAGTGTATACCTTGAAAAGATAAAGCCTTAAAAAGAACCATAATGACATTATTACACATAAAATAATTAGCAATACTTGCACATTTTATTTTGTAAATTGTTATATATTAAAGCATACTTTTGGAGGCTGGAGAGATGGCTCAAGGGTTAAGAGCACTGGCTGCTCTCCCCAGAGGTCTTTAAAAAATAAAGTATGCTTTTGTCATATAGTTGTATGAATTTTAAAGCATGTATAGATTTGTGTAATCACTACAATCAAGATATAGGATTAATTTTATCACCTGCAAAGCTCCCTTGTTCTTTCTTACTTTATAGTCTCAAATCTTTGTTCTCCACACAAAAATACTAACTCTGTGTGATAAAGCACGTTAGTGAGAGATAGCTATTAACTATATATATGTGTGTACATATATGTTACATAGTACAAGATAAGCATAAGTACACGTCAGCTTAAAAAATACAAAACAATCTACACTTATGGCCTTATAAGATACTGTTATAGTAATAGTTTATCTTTAAAATTTTTATTATTTATTGTTATGAGTACAGGTGTTTTGTCTGTATGTATGTCTGTGTACTACATTCGTGCAATGTTCAGGGTGGTCAGAAGAGGGTGACAGGGCCCTGTGGCTGGAGTTACAGTTGTGAACTGCCACGTGGGTGCTGGGAATCAAACCCCAGGTTCTCTGGAAGTGGAGCCAGTGCCCTTAACCACTGAGCCATCTCTCTAGTTTCAATAATTTATCTTTTCAAACTTATAATTTATCTTTTAAATAATTTATCTCATTTTTTAAATAATTTATCTTTTAAAATTTATCTTTTCATTTCACGTGTATGGGTGTTTTTGCAAAGGCCAGAAAAGGGCATCAGATCCCCTGCAGCTGGAGTTCAAAATGATTGTGAGCCATTTTGTGGGTACTAGGAATCAAACCTGTATCCTCTGAAGAAGTGATAAGTGCTCTTAGCTACTAAGCCGTCCCTCTGGTCTATTCTAACAAAATTAATGTGTCAATATCAGCAAATAACATGAAGTACTGAGGAATAAATTTTTAATTTTTTTTAAATAATTTATTTTTATTTTATGTACATTAGTATTTTGCCTGTATGTATGTATGTGAGGGTGTTGGATATCCTGGAGCTGGAGTTTACGTACAGTTGTGAGCTGCTATGTGGGTGCTGGGAATTGAACCTGGGTTCTCTGGAAGAGCAGCCAATGCTCTTAACCTCACTACAAGGCCTTGGAACTCTCTATGTAGACCAGGCTGGCCTTGAACTCACAGAGATCCGCCTGCTTTTTCCTGCTTCTTCTTTCTATTGCTTTAGCACATTGTGTCACTCCCTGATAGAAAACCTCTACACTTCCTCTGTAACACTCTTGTATGTCTAACATTTCTGTTTCCTCTTCAGTGCACAAGCTCCTTGGGTAACAATCTCTGTTTACTGATGCATCCTAAGTGCTTGGAATAGTACCAATAATGAAAGAAGTAAGAAAGGACCCTGGGGAAAATACACAAAAGAAAATGTAATCACTGCTGCTGTCAAGTGAAGAAGTCATGCACTCCCTGGACACCAGGGAGCTAGCTGTTTGGCGGACATGCCAGACTTCCTTGGTAAAGCAAACACTATGGGCTTCATGTGGCGACAATCCCCCTTGTCCTCCAGTCCTAGGGGGTAATCTAGTGATTCACTGAGGTTTGGGCAGAAGCTGTGCACACAGAGGGCCTCTGTCACGGCTGAGACATGCTAACCTAAGGAAAACTCTGACTTTATAAGGGGGCCACTATCAAACCTGTCTATCCTCTGCCCAAGGGGAGACATTATTTTTATTATTCTGGTAAGAGAACAAACAGATCTTGTCTAGGGAGGAAAGCAAAATTCCCCTGAGAGGGGCAGCCTCTAAATCTCTGCAGAGGGAGCCACTATCTTTATAAACAAACCTGCCCTGTGTGCCAAGGAAGACATTAGCTTCTAGGGCGGTTTGCAGCCTGGGGGATAGGGAGTGGGTGGAGGGAGGAGACTGGAGATGGCTCAGTGGTTAAGAGTGTGGACTGCTCTTGCAAAGGCCCCAAAGTCAAGATCTGTTTTCTAGCACCCATGTCAAGTGGCTTATAAATGCCTGTAACTCAGCTCCAGGAGGATCTGATGCTATGGCCTCCACAGGGACATGCATTCATGTGAACATACTAACACCAACACACACACATGATAAAAAAAATTTTTAATCTAAATAAAAAGCCAGGTTGGGTTGGCACACACCTTTAATCCTAGCTTTTGGGAGTCAGAGGCAGGCAGACCTCTGTGATTCAAGGCCAACCTGGTCTACAGTGTTCAGGACAGCCAGGGCTGCACAGAGTAACCCTGTCTCAAAAAACAAAACCAAAAACTAAATATAAATTTTTAAAAAGTAAAATAAAAAAGCCAGAGAGTAAGCAAAATGGCTGCTGGTCCAGAGGACCTAAGTTCAATTCTTGGTGGTGAAGAGCTTAAGATAGCCTGAATATAACTCCATTTTGAAATAAAGATCTTGACTGGGAACTGAATTCAGGTACCAGGAAATATCACAGAATGTACACCTGGCAGAAAACAAAGTTAACTCTCCTAGCAACAGCCTCCAGGAAATATCAGAGAATAAATGCTTCATAGAAAATAGAGACAAACTCCCTGGCAATAATCAATGGGAATCGGTTGAGAATCGGGTGGGAAAATTCTCCCCAATGTTTCAGATATAGTTTAGAAAAATAGCCATTGTGATTATATGCCTTAGCCATTGTGATTATGTGCCTCAGAAAAGGTCACCCCGCCCTGCTAAACTTCACCCAATTCTGTAACGCCAAGGCTTGTGCCCCCTGCTTGCTGCCATGGAAACCCCCAGCTCACAGACTTTCCCTTTAAAAATCCTGTTCACTCAGAGCTCGGGGTCCCACTTCTCTACTGCTGCGCCAGTGAGACTTGGGTCCCGAGTTCGATCGCTCTCATAATAAAGCTCTCTTGCAATTGCATCGAGTCGTCTCCTGGTGGTCTCTGAGGGTCCCGTGAACCTGGCATAACAGTGGCTCATAACCACCTGTAACTTCAATTCCAGGGATGGATGCCTTCTTCTGGCCCTGTGGGCACCATGCGTATAGTGCGCAGACATACATGTAGACAAAACACCCCCACATATAAGTAAATTATTAAATAAAGGCATTTAGTAATTAAAGGCAAAACACCTTTCTAAGGCCCAGCATGAGCCTAATTTCCAGAAGGGATGAAGAGAACTCAGGAGACCGGATATTATCGATGCAAAATCGCAAGAGGTTTATTTTAACCATTGTGCAATGGGGTCACCCCTGCTGGTCAGCAAAGAGTGGCACCGGGAGACAAAGGCCTTGGGTTTTTAAAAGACAAGGTGTGGGAATTTTGAGGGGTTGCAGTCTTGGCAATTCAGGATTGGATGAGGAAGCTATAAAGTAAGATAATTGGTTAGTCTTAGATGCTCAAGCTTGACCAGTCTTGCCAAGTGTGGATGCAGCTGCAATTAAAGGTTGAGGTGGGGGTGATTAGCTCATCCTTGAAGATAAGGGCTTCGGGCTTTTGGCTGGAGGTCAGGGGCCACTCCAAAGAAGGACTGAGGCCATCTGGGTTGGTTGCTAAGAAACACTATTTTGAAGACAAGGGTCTGGTCATTCTTTTTGCTGAGTGAAAGTCATTGCTTGCTTGCTTTTTTTTTTTTTTTATATCTGTCCTCACAGATAGGGTCACATTCCTCTGTTCTCTGGAAAGGTACTAAGAGGCTTTAGCTTAACCTGGGCCTAAAACTCAAAACTATAGGCTTTAGAAGACATATAGTTTACAAAGTTAGTCTGATCCTTTCAACCTCCACACATAAACAAACAGACAAACAAGGTAACAGAGACTTACAGACACAGCAGGACTGACACACATAGGAACTCACAGACTGACAGCAAGCACAGGGCATTTACAGATTCTAAGACAGATGGGACTCTGTGCTGAGAGGGGAAGTGGACAGGAGCTTCCTTCTCTAACCCAGAAACTATCTCCATTTGACAACTACCAAAAAAGGAATAATTAGTTTTCTCCAGTGCAGTCTACACTTGGTCTACACACCACACCTAGGGAGGTCTCTGCAGATGGCCAACACAAAACCGACTCAATAGTACTTTTGAAGATATTTTGCCCATAATGGCTTTGTTTGGGAAATTTTAAAACCTTACCTGTCTTTTGTTTATCTATTATCTCTGATTTTGTGTTTTAACGTGTTTTTTTTTTTTTTTTTTTTTTTTTTTTTTTTTTTTTTTTTTTTTTAAGATTTAACCTATTTATTTTAGGTATTGAGTGCTCTATCTGAATGTACACCTGGATGCCAGAAGAGGGCATTAAATTCCAGTATAGATGGCTTTGAGCCATCACGCGGGTGCTGGGAATTGAATTCAGGACCTCTGAAAGAGCAGAATGTGCTCTTACCAGCTGAGCCAACTCTCTAGCTCCCTCTTTTAGTCTGTTTTATTCAGTGTTGTTTGTTTGGTTGATTCCTTGTTTTCTAAAGAGAGAGAAGAAGGTGTGGAGCTGGATGGCTGGGGTAGGGAGGAAGTGGGGACGATCTGGGAGAAGATGAGGGAAGGAAACGGTGATCAGAATATACTGCACAAAATATTTTAAATAAAAAATAGACAATGGCTGGAGAAATGGCTCAGTGGGTAAGAGCATGGTCTACTCTTCTAAAAGACCTGGGTTCAATTCCCAGCATCCATATGTCAAATTGAAGAGTTTAAATTAGCCTGGGTATAGTTAGCCTGAGTAAAGAGCCATCTTGACTGGGAGCTGAATTCAGGTACCAGGAAATATCACAGAGTGTGCACTTGGCAGAAAACAAAGTTAACTCTCCTAGCAACAGCCTTCTGGAAATAATACAGAATAAATGCTTCATAGAAAATAGAGACAAACTCCCTAGCAATAATCAATGGGAATTGGTTGGAAATCGGGTGGGAAAATTCTCCCCAATGTTTCAGATATGGTTTAGAAAAATAGCCATTGTGATTGTGTGCCTCAGAAAAGGTCACCCCGCCCTGCTAAACTTCACCCAATTCTGTAACACCAAGGCTTGTGCCCCCCCCCCCCGCTTGCTGTCATGGAAACCCCCTGCTCGCAGACTTTCCCTTTAAAAATCCTGTTCACTCAGAGCTCAGAGTCCCACTTCTCTACTGCTGCGTCAGTGAGACTTGGGTCCCGAGTTCAATCGCTCTCGTAATAAAGCTCTCTTGCAATTGCATCGAGTTGTCTCCTGGTGGTCACTGAGGGTCCCGTGAACCTGGCATTACAAGCTCACAACTGTCTATAAACTCCAGTTCCATGGATTCTGATACCAATGTACAAAGAAAAAAATTAATAAATTATTTTTAAAAGTAGACACTGTAAAAACACTCATTTGCATTTTTATTGAGGTTCATCTATTTTATTCACTAGAGAATTGATATCTATATCATCTCTTCTTTTCTTTCTTTCTTTTTGAGAAAGTCTTCCTGGCTAGCTTGGAACTGGCTATGTAGAGTAGGCTGGCCTGGAACTCATAGAGATCATCCTGCCTCTGCCTCCCCAGTGCTGGGATTAAAGATGTGTGCACCACATCTAGATGATTTTTTAAGACAGGGTTTTATGTAATAGCCCTTTACTTTGTTGAGGGTGATAAAGAATTTTTGAGCCTCTACCCCAAAATGCTGGGATTACAGGCATGGGCCATGACACCTGGCTTTCTAATACAGTGTGTGTGTGTGTGTGTGTGTGTGTGTGTGTGTGTGTGTGTGTGTGTGATCGATGTTTGTGTGTGTTTGTGTGTGATCTATGTTTGTGGGTGTTTGTGTGTATGTCTGTGTGTAATCTATGTTTGTATGTGTTTGTGTGTGTGTGTAGTAGGCCAGAGGACGACCTGTTGTGATACTTCAGGAGCATTTCTATTTTGTTTGAGACATCAATCACTAATTCAGAAAATGATCCACAGTCTTGTCTATAGGTCAATGTTACAGAGCCATTCTCTTGGCTGAGTTTCCCTCCTCTCAGATATGTCTAGATTTTCATCAAGTTGACAAGAACCAACCAGTATAGGGTCCCGCTTTGGAGAATAAACCACATGATTACTGTATTCACAGGGAGGAGAAATTCTTGGTCAATTGATAGATTTATTTCTCCCTTCCTAGACCCTGTCTTATAGAGTATCCTCTTCCTCCATTTCTGTCCAGACTTGAATCTGTGTGATCTTGACTGAGGAATTATGAGATTCTGTCACCAGAAGTTTTATGCAACTGATCTCCTGCACAGAGCCTTCTTCATAAAACACTATCTGGTCCAACTGACCTCTCACCAATGGTCCTACCAAGGTATAGTGAGCACAGCGCTTGGGGTAGTCCATGGGGCTATAGCCCAGCAATAGCTGCCCATGTTGTAGGTAGTTATTCTTACTCTCTCTAATCCCTGTCAGCACTGCTACCCGGATGATCTTTTGTGGCTTATCCAGAACCACCAGCAAGTAGTTGCCTCTTACAGGGTCTCTGGCCCAGAAGCAGTCATCATTGAGAATGTAGGCATACTGTGCAACCGAATTCCAAAATGAGATCATGTCCGTGAAGACAGTAGCAACAGGGTTATCTGGTTCGCCCCAGTCCTTGTCCTGCTCCACAGGAAAGCATGTGTCTTCAAACTTACAGGAACTGACCGTATGGTGGAAGATGGAGGAACTGAAGCGAATAGGAACATTTTGAGACAAGAGAAGACTGAATTCAGAGAGAAGCAAGTGAGTTGGAGTGTCCTTTGGGAAGAGAAGCAAATAGGAGATCAGGCGAGGGAGGTCCCTGGTGTGGAAAACCTTCCCAGAGATCTTCATGCTGGAGAAGTCCAGGATCACCCAAGGGAGTTGTTTCCAGGCTGACAGTGCCCAGTAGATGTCAGCCAGAAACCTGGGGGCACACCTCACGTTATCTTCCAGCAACAGGAAGTAGTCAGAGAAGTTTTGGGCGAAATTCATGAGGAGGACAGAACTTGTTTTCTGCCTAGAATAAAGCTTTCCACAGGGTGAAGTATGATTTCTGCTCTTCGCTAGGGAGCCACCAAACAGACCATGGACCACCATCAGGTTACCAAATTCAATGTGTGGCCTGAAGAGACCTGAAATGTTGGCAGCTGTTTCATTGAGCCACTGGGGGTCAGTACCTGATAGAAGAACCAATACCAGCATATATTCTAGGTCCTGTTCTGAGGAAGCTTCAAATAAGGACTTCAGGGTGTCCAAGAGGCAACTCCTGTGGGTATGCTGCCTTGAGGAGATCCCCACCGTCAGCAGCCCTGAGGAACACATGGACACTCTCAGTACTTTAACGAGGCGGATGGACCCCAGGACTTTGTTCCCAGCCCCTCACCTAATGCTAGCTCCCAGGCCAGGCTCACATCTTCTCCTGGGAATGTAGGGTTGTGGGAGGTGAATCCCTTCTCAAAGCTATAAAGTCTCCCTTGCTCAGTACTTTTCAAGGCTCATTGGAGAAGCTTCATAGAGGATAAGGGTCTCTTTGGAGTGGAGCTGTGTAGCTATTGCCATGCAAGCAAATTGTTAGCCTGGCCTTGAGCTTTAGGAGTTATCTCAACTACTGTGGACTACCCAGGCCTGCACTAGAAGGTCTCCAAGTCCTTTTAAAACCTCATGGCTGGCTAGACCAGTTCCGTGGGCTGTGAAGTTCAGTGGCCTGTAGTTCACACTACTGTCTTTTTTGGACTACCCACTTCTCCCTCCACCCCCACCTCTGTCCCAGTTTCCCTGGCACCTCTTCCATCCATCTTCCCCTCCCTGGAAGCCTGGCACGAATGAGTATCACTGCAGGCTCTCTTACAGAGTTCTCAAAACCAAAACCAAAGCAAAACAAAACAAAAACAAACAAAACAAAGACAGACAGACCGACCTTGCCTGGCCTTTGCCAAGTCTGATGGCTCCTCCCATATACTCACTCTTTGGCTGGAAAGGAGCTCCAGCCAGGAGTGTATAGTTGGCATGCAGAAGTACAGGAGGAATTTTCTGCATCTCTGTGAAGTATTTCAAATGATTCTTGATTTCCGAGTTGATTTGCTCCTGAGCTATCTGCTGCATTATTTTCATCTTTTCAATCTGAGTAGAGATGATATATTATCAGCCCCAAGGGTGATTCTTAGCTCCTCTGGAAACAATTGGGGGCGTGTCCTTTTTAGATCAGGTTGGATGGTCCCTAGGATCCGTTACTTATAATCTGCCAATGTGTAGCTTTCTTCTCTCCCCTCCTGATCACGAGCCCACAGAACTTTCCAGCCACAGCCATGTGACCATGGAATTCTGCAGAGTTAGGACCTGCCTGCCAAGCCACTGCCCAGGAGTCATTGCTTTACCACAGTCAAGCTGGCAAACGAGGTCTAGCTTGGCTCAGGACTCTGATGGTTTCCGGAAGAGAGAGCCCCGCCCGTCTTTAAGGTCCTGAGTGCGGTGACTCAGCCTGAAGGTCCTTTCGCTTGCTTAGTCTCAGTACTCGAATCTTAGCCACCGAAGCCTCAGCTGCCCTGTGTGCGCTGAGGTTCACGCTGGGGGAAGCTACTTCTAATTTCTCATATTAGAAAGGAGACTGTCGCTGCAAGTGCAGCGAGGAGGTGACAGGGGACAGGTGTTCATTGCAGGTGTCTTGCTGGTCAGCCCCTCCCCTACAGGTGGTCATGCAGCACTCTCTCTTTCTACGTCTGGAATGCTTGCTGCTCCTCTTCTGCCCTCCCCAAATCCCATCTGTCCCAAGCTCGCCTTTATCATTCCCATGACGAACCCAGAGACTTTAACTTAAGTGGGAAGACCCTCTTCTGAGAAGAGGGAGAGGCCTCTATCTCCGTTCCTCACCAGCGACAGTTTATACTCCACAGGTGTTGTTTCATTGTCTTGAAGAAAGAACCCCAGGATGACTAAGGACACAATGGCTCTGATGCATCTCCCCAGGCAGACTTGCATGGTGCTGGGAGCAGCTGTGGAAGCAATGTGAGCAGCAGTAGATCCTGAGTGCCTCCTACTTAGAGAGCATGGGGTGCCATCCCCGGCTGGCATGCCATGCCCTGAGCCCACGCTTCCTGGACTGAGCTTTCCCAATACCTGATTATTGTCTTTTTTCTTTTTCTTTGAGATAGGGTTTCTCTGTGTAGCATTGGCTGTCCTGGACTCACTTTGTAGATCCCCAAGTGCTAGGATTACAGGTGTGCACCACCGTACCCAGCTTAACCCTTTCCTCCCAAATTCTCTCCTGTCCCTGTCTCAGGAAAAACAACAAACAAGGGCTTGGTTCAGCAGAGCTCCTGCCTCCTCTATGCTCCCAGGTGAACTGGAGGGGACATGTTGCAGAGAAGAAGAAATGGAGGCTGTAGAGATAGCTCAGTAGGTAAAAGCATACACTTACTACCTAGCCTGACCAACCGAGTTCTATTCCTGGGATCTATTCCTGGGATGGTGGAAGGAGAGAACCAGCTCCTAGAAATTGTCCTGATTTCCACACATGTGCCGTTATGTGCATGTGCCCACAGATGTGCACACACAGGCTTAAATACATAGGTGTAGCAATAACAGACTTTCCTTCACTATCCTGCCGTGTGAACTCTGTTCTCCCATGACTCTATTTACTCCCCTGGGTTTCTCTGGGAGCTGTCTGGAATAAAAGCCTCACAGAATGCCAGGAAAGGCACTAGCTTGGGGTTCTCTGCTTTTGTTGAATCTCAGGTTCAACTTCAGTTCCTCGGCGATGACCACTGGCAGGTTGTGATAGTCAAAGTTTTTATATGGATAGGTATTTTACCTGCATCTCCGTCTGTGTGCCACATATGTGTCTGGTACATGCAGAAGCCAGAAGAGGCTGTTGAATCTCTTGGAACTGGAGTTAAAGATGTTTGTGAGCCACAGTGTGGGTGCTGGGAATTGAACCTGGCTCCTCTGGAAGAGCAGCCAGTGCTCTTACCCACTGATCCTGCCCAGCCTCCACGATACATTTTTTAAATGAAGAGGAAATTTAGAGTTGTGTTAATTATATTATTCCCCCAAGTGGTCAAATTCAAACCAACATCGTCTGGTGGGCATTATTGATAAATAAAATAGATCTCCTCTCTCTACTCCATACTTACTTTTGGACCTGGTCCTTTCCAGGACTATGTTAGGTAAACAGACAAGGTTTTGAGTGAAGTCAGAAGGACTTGGTGTATCTCCTTCATGGTGGGCTGTGAGGATCCATAGAAACCTAGAAGAAACCAGACACTTCTAATCAGAACCACATCTTCACTATGTTTTGGGTATAGTGTCCATCGAAGTCTTTCTGGCTAGCAGAGAATGCTGCTGGTGGCTTAACTGGAACAGGATTTTCTCTGAAAACAAGAAAAGAAAAAAGACAATGTTGAAGGAGGCAGTCCCAGAGTGACTTCTCTGAGGCTGCTGAAACTAGTCACCTCTCCCAGGAAACCCCACCTGACAACCATTGTTCAGCCTGAATGGGCACCATGAGTCAATCTGACCTGACATCAAGCACCTGCTTCTAGGTGATGTGGAGACATAGTTTCAAAACCAGCCGTCCAGGCTTGTGACTTGGAATTTGAATATTCCCTGAGAGTTTGAGTCAACAAGTATGGATTCTGAGTTGTCTCTTCCTTATCAGAGGGCCCCGTGGGCTAGTCACTGCTATCTGCATTCTCACTTGCTGTTCTCTGCTGACGGGTATTGTACCACAAAATTGTCCTCAAATATGCAGTTCTCCTTTGGACTTAGAAGTGTCCAGTGGCCTTCTGAAGTGTCCCTTTTTTGTTTTTACCTGTTCTTTTTCACCGTTGAGTCTGTATTTCCAATTCTATTGGTCCTTCTCCCTTGTGGTAGTCTAAACGAGAACAGCCTCCACAGACTCATGTTTGAATACTTGGTCCCCAGTTGGTGTAACTGTTTGGGAAGGATTAGGAGGCGTGGCCTTGTTGGAAGAGGTGTGCCACTGAGTTTTGGCTTTGAGGTTTCAAAAGACTGGTGCCACCCTCAATGCCTCTGTTTTGTGGTGTGTGTCTGAAGATGTGAGCCCTCAGCTACTGCTCCAGTGCCATTCCTGTGTCCCTGCTGCCACGCTCCCACCGGGATGGTCATGGACTCTCTAACCCTCTGAGCCGTAAGCCCCAAACAATTCTTTCTTCTATAAATTACCTCTGTCATGGTGTCATATGACAGCAATAGAAAATTAAGGCACTCCTTATCCTCCCCCTTTCTTCTTTCTTCTCCTTTTCCTCCTCTTCTCCCTCTTTTTCTCTTTCTCATCCTCCTTCTTTTCCTCCTTTTCCTCCCAGTCTTCCTCATAAGATTGTAGTGTTTGTTTTTTTTTGTTTGTTTTTGAGACTGGGTTTCTCTGTTTAGCTTTGGCTGTTCTGGGTTCACTTTGAGGATTAGGCTGGCCTCAAACTCAGAGATCTACCTGCCTCTTCTTCCCTAAGTCCTAGGATTAAAGGCATGCACCATCACTCCTGGTTTATAGTGTTCATTTTTTTTTAAACTTTAGGCTTATGATTCATCTCAAAATAATATCTGTGTATGGAATGAGATAGGTGTTGAATTCCCCCCTTTTTTAAACGGATACCCCATTCTTCCAGTACCACTGTGGACAGACTCTTTAAATTCTTGTCACATCTGTTAACTAAAGTAGCTTTGTGTCTATTTTAGTTCCGCTGAACTATTAGATGATCTTTACTGTCATATGTTCTTTGCCCACTCCAAGGTTGTCATGGAGAGTGGTTTCTGTGCAGTTCTCTTTCATAGGTGTAGGATGAATTTTTATATAGAAGGTACTGTAAAGTTCTAATCCTCTTTATTTTCCCTGTAGATTATTTATTAATTGATTAGTGTTATAATTATTTATTAATTATCTTACATGCTGCTGGAACAAAAATAGTTAACAAAAGAAATTTAAGGACAGAATAGTTTATCTTGGCTCACAGTTCAAGGGTAGATCAAGGTGGCAGAAGCTCGAAGTGGCCAGTCACCAAGAGGTTTGATTGTTGGCATCCACATGGTGGCTCACAGCTACCTACAACTCCAGTTCCAGGAGATAGGATGCCTCTCCTGATCTCTGTAGGCACCCTGCATGCTGCATGTGGTGTATAGTCATTCACGCAGGCAAAACACCCATGCAAATATAAACAAATGATAGGTAGGTAGGTAGGTAGGTAGGTTGATAGATAGACAGACAGACAGACAGATAGCTAGATAGCTAGATAAAATTTGGTTGTGGGAATGCTGCACAAAGAACATGATAGAGGAAAACACCTGAAGTTGACCTCTGGCTTCCATGTGCATTCACACACGTGCACATGCATGCACAAGTACACAGTTACTTCAACACATACTTCACACACACACACACACACACACACACACACATATATATATATATATATATATATATATACGCACACACACACTAAATAAAAAATAAAAGAAAACCTCTGCTCTGATTGTGCACATTAGCAGAGCTCTGGGTTTAGAGCTCAGATTTCTGGGAAGAAGGATTTCAGGGAAACCTATCTTTGGGAGACAGGATCTTTGCCTGCATAAGGCCCCACATATAAACATATAATAAACTCCTTTGTAAAACTTAAAGAGGCCAGCCATGGTGGTGCACACCTTTAATCCCAGCACTAGGGAGGCAGAGGCAGGTGGATCTCTGTGTGTTTGAGGCCAGCCTGCTCTACAAAGCGAGTCCAGGATAACCAGGGCTACACAGAGATACCCTGTCTTGAAAACACAAAAACAAAACAAAGAAAAGAAACTATTCTCACTTACAATTTAGTCTACTGCAATTAGAAAAGTATTTCCTAGAGGGATGGGGCTTTTGTGGGAGCCAGCCAAGAGCCTGGCAAGACCACTTTGGTGTTTGTTCAGAAGCTCTGTCCTTTTTCTTTTCTGGCCAGCTGAGCTATCTCATACCTAGCTGTAAACCCTTTCATCTCATGCCTGCTTTCCCTCACCTCACCATTTCAACCCTAGCATTCACTTGAACTCACACATTTGTTTTCATCACAACAGCAGGAAGATCATGAGTTCAAAGCCATCCTGGGGCTATACAACAACCCCCAGTATCAAACCACTCCCCAAACATCTGTAATTCTGTTGTTCTTCATCTTCGCCATATGTTACTGTTGTATGACTTTTCTTCTTTGGTGTTACTTTGCTCTTCATTAATCGTCACGATAGTTAAGTTTTTACTGGGTTTATGTTTTTATATGTCTGTTCATTGTCTTCTGTGGCATTTCAATTCATAATATTTGTCCATTTTTCTATGTGTCAGTTCTTTTTAAAAAAATATTAATTTTACGTATATGAGTACTCTGTCTTAATGGACACCAGAAGAGGGCATTAGATCCCATTACAGATGGTTGTGAGCCACCATGTGGTGGCTGGGAAACAAACTTAGGACCCCTGGAAGAACAGCCAGTGCTTTTAACCACTAAGCCATCTCTCTAGCCCCCTATGTGTCAATTTATTTTTATTTTTTTATTAATTACACTTTATTTACTTTGTATCCCCCCTGCAGTTCCCTCCCTCCTCCCCTTCCAATCCTTCCCTTCCTTTTCCTTCTCCACGCATGCCCCTCCCCAAGTCCACTGGTAGAGGAGGTCTTCTTTTCCTTCCTTCTGATCCTAGTCTGTTAGGTCTCATCAGGAGTGGCTGCATTGTCTTCCTCTGTGGCCTGGTAAGGCTGCTCCCCTCTCAGGGGGAGGTGATCGAAGAGCAGGCTAATCAGTTCGTGTCTGACACAGTCCCTGTTCCCAATACTATGGAACCCACTAGGAGACTGAGCTGTCATGGGCTATATCTGTGCAGGGGTTCTGGGTTATCTCCATGCATGCTACTTGGTTGGACTATTGGTCTTAGGGAAGACCCATGTGCCCAGATTTTTTGGATTTGTTACTCTTTTTGTGGAGCTCCTGTGCCCTCCAGGTCTTACTAACTCC